ATGGTCGTACTTCTACCAACAGTAGTTTAAGTTAGTTACGTTGGGGTGGGGGGGGTACTGGGTGCAGTATCCATAAAAAGGGACAATACTGACAATGTAGCTACACCAGGGTTTCGTGGGCACTATACCCAAACACCAGCATTAGAAACAGTGTCCACAAAACACATTGAGAACATCCAACACAGGTACTTAGCCCAACAGGACCAGCCGATTGACCCTGGGGGAGCTACTCCAAGGCCACCCATCTACAGGAATTCAAAACCAAAGTGCCATCAATATAAACTGATGTATCAATGACATCCCTCAACCACCAGAATTGTCTCCTTCCCTTCATGGGATGCCACGCATGACAAACACGTGGGTTGTTCAGATGCCAGAAGACGTAAACTGAAAATACAGAATATTCCCTGGGAGGTACCCTCACCATGTACTGAAATCCACCTTGAGGAGGGTAAACTGAAGAAGGTAAAGAAACTGGCAGAGACAGGACAGAACAATAAATAGATGCCAATCCCAGATGTACTGGGGAATGGTAAACAGGTGGGAATAAATTCTCAGAGAAGGATGAGAAACCCTTTCGATAATGTCCTTGGCCAAATGTTCTTACACCACCTCAGAGGACTGGTGGGAGACAGGATCCCCTGGGGGAAGGAAAGGAACAAGAGATAAGGGAGAGGAGAGGTAAAACGAAGGGTAAAGTCAATGAATAGAACCTGTAGCCCCTAACAGTTGGCTGCAAAAAAGAATCCATAGATCCATAAATTGAGCCAAACAGAACCCCACTGTTTCTGAGTCCAGAAGAGAGTTACCAAATAGATTTTTAGTACTGAAACCTACAAACAGTGAAAGAATGAATGGGAGAAGAGGAACAGAATGGAAAAACAGGGAATGGAAAGAAGTTAGGAGGATGGGAGACAGCAACTGGAAGAGAAGAAGAATGGGAAAGATGGGACACAAGGGTAGTCAAGGAAAAAATGTTGTAACACAGCTCCAGCATGTGAATACAAAGAATCAGATACCCCACCAAAAACCCATTGACAGAGAAAAAAGAGCCAGACAAAGGTCCTCAAGATAAGAGGGTGGTAAATGTAATTTGGCAAGAAATGAGGGATAATTAGAATAAGGAAAAGCCAAGAAAACTAAGCTTGAGAAAGACTAACAGATGACAATGGATCAGAACCCCAAGCTTGAAGAAGAGGCTCCAGAGTTTGGGAGTACAAGAAAAGGGTTTCAGCTCAATTTTAAGTCAAGGCATATGTACAACCACTTGAAGAGGACAAGAGATACCAGCATCAGAGTGAATTTATGACAAAATAATTTTCAGCGTGGACTTGGATATCAGAGTGAAGTTATGACAAAATAATTTTCAGCGTGGACTTGGATATCAGAGGAATGAGAAAAAAACACAATATTCTGAAGAAGGGGCTGAATGAAGAAGGGAAAGTAAAGAATAATAAGAAATAGGAGAGAATGAAAGAAGGTAACGTACCTGAGAAGAAAAGTCATGGAAGGACATAGAATGTCATGGTAAATCCATGTCTGCATGGAAAGAATTGCTTGCAAGTTTAGGCAGTGGGAAATGACCACCTAACATCCACATCCTTACAGACAGGAATTATAGGATATAAGTCTGTTTCCAGGCCTGAAAAAGGCTCAGGCCACATGCAACACTCCACCACACAATAGCTGACAAAAAAGAAACACCCCATGCCATTGTGGAAATCTAGATTAACAAAGTCCAGATGTTTAACACTAGACAGCATGGAAATAACTACCTCTGTCTGATTCATGTTGTGGAAAATAAGAGTCACAAATTCTACAGAGACAGAATTGTTTGAAAATAAAAATTATTTCCACAACAGTTGGTTTTGTAGATACTTCAACCAAACACTGATGCTGAGAAATCTCATGCAAGAGAAAAAAAAAATACACGTCTTAACACACAAGTGCCGATTCGAAAAGTGATGACTGAACAATCCCATGTTCATTTGCATGAAACAACACAGCAATATCATGTGGAAAACACGAGACTAGATGGGAGCTTCAAGGCTAGTGGCAAGCAAAAATAGTTTGCGTACAGAAAGCAGCACTGAACTGGGAAAGCCAGATGTGAGAGGAGGTTATCTATCATATTAGAAGTATTAATTGCTCACAATTTTTAACTTGATAACTTTTTTTTCTAAATGTTTAGGTTAAATTACAATCATATTCATTACTTTGATTTTTTTTTCTAATACCAGGTTCTTCAAAATAGAATAGAAGATGCTAAGAAAGATTTTTCTTAACCTTTCCAAATTGCTTAAAATACTTTTTTGGGTGAAAGTTTCTGCCCTGGGCCTGCAAGGAGGACTAGTTGGGCTCCTCAACATCCTGCTATTTGGACCTCTTCTGTCAGAACTTAGGAAGATCACTGAGCTGATCATATAGGCTACTAACCATGACAATGATTCGTGAACTTTACTAAGGAGGCTCTACTACAGGAAAATGGGTTAAGTTGAGGTACCTTAGTGAGAAAGATCTAGTACAGGAAAGCAAATTAAGCCAAGACATCTCAGTGAGTAAAATGTAGTAAAAGAAAAAAGATTAAGCTGAGGTACCTTAGTGAGTAACATTAACACAGGAAAATAGGTTAAGTTAAGGTACTTTAGTAAAGTAACATCTAGTAGAGGTAATCAGGTCTAAGTTGAGGTACTATAAGTAAGAAAGATCTAGTACAGGAAAACATTAAGCTTAAAGTACCTTTAACTGAGTAAGTACTTGTATACTATTTTGCTCTGGCTATAACATACAGTAACTTTCCAGAAATGCGTACAATCTTCTTGTGCATACTGCTGTACACCATCAGCTAAAATTTACAGTAAGATTTTAGCAATAACATTACCTTTACTTCTAAAAGTAATTAACATTTCAAACAAAAAATGTGAAAAAAAAGCTTTTCTTTTTTTACATACAAACACAATAAAACAATTACTTGTCTCTTATGAATTTGTTTACCTGATATGAAATTTGTGATACAGGCTAAATATTTTGAAAATTAAACTGTTATAAAGACCACATTACTTACTGCAAGAATAATGTTTGGCACATTTCCTTCTTTTGCAAAAATCTGCAATAATGAAAAAAATTCATTGCACATTAAACACACTAACAGAAAATAAATACATAATACAAAATGCATGTTGTTTTATTTTTCTTTAACTGCTATAGCATACAAACATAAAACGACATACCAAAATTTAAATGTCCAGTAAGGGATACCAAAACCTAACAACAACCTTCATCAATGCTTCAGAATTTACCAAAAGTTCCATGAAAATATTTTATAACAAATTTTTATGCATTTTTTTAAGGTTAGCTACATTTAATCATTAACTTGAATGAGCTTATTATAACCTTCAATCTAAAACTATTTTAAAGTTTGAAAACCCTACATACTTTTTCATGAACATGCTTCTTCTAATAACAGAATGAATGGGATATTTGTATAAAATTGTTTTATTATTATTCTGTAAAAAAGATATTTACATTCTAAACACTTTGCTTTGCAATTAAAATTCAATCAAAACAACTATGTATTATGAACAGACTGAAAACTTAAATCTATATTTGTAGCTAAAAATCATCATTAGATTTTTTGCTATTATTATTATTTCTATATCCAAAATGTGTTTGTACTTAGATCCACTGTTAATATAAATATACTGATCTCTAGAAAAGGGTCACTAAAAACATCCCTATTTAAGAGTACTATGGTTATGAAAAAAGCTTAATCATTGAAGCATAAAAGATCTATTGGTAGCCTGATTCAGCTTTCTAGAATTGTTAGAAATTTGAGTAAGTTCTTCGTGCAGTTAGTTTGAAGGGTAAAATGATAAAGTTGACAGTAGGGTTTTAATGTTAAAGGTAATAGTTAAAACCTTTGAATTTCCAAATCTATACTTGACCTTACATAACACTGTTAGTTATGTACTTAAGGAATGCTGCTGAACCAGGTGAAGAATTGTCTGCTTGAGCTTGAAACCCTGATGGTAAGAGCACTAGTGAGCCAGTCAGGAATTTTTATTTATTCCTGATCACTAGAAGAAGTCTGTGAAATTTTAGATATACTATAAATCAATAAAATATAATGGAATGTCATTGTTTGCATAAATGTACTTTTTATTATAAATGCACAAAATATATCATTGAGTACAAAGAAAATTGCCTTATAACACATCCCAGGGATGCAGACTACAATTACCTTCATGTTGCTCTTTTAATCCTATGAATAATTAGTCATTACATAGTTTTCAATAAAATCAAGATTGATTGTTTCGATGTGACATTACAATCCATACTATTTCCAGTGCTACAAGCAGACATGTTCAGTCCTGTTTTACAGAATTCACCACAATTTGATTTGATTGAGGCACCAACTATCTTTGAAATCAAGTACTAACTACCCAATGAGTAGGACCACATGGCAGGAAAATGTCATGGACAGACCAATGAAATGTAGAAAACACTTAATTGGTGCCTACAATTAGAAAGTAATAAATGAGAAAATTAAATAAGGGTTCCTCATTTTTTCCAAATGGTTAGGTCCCAGGAACTCAAAACATTTAAGTGCTAGCACAAACACTAAATATGAAAAGTCATAATACTGTGATATGTTGTTCTTGAGAATGTGAGGTGAGATTAATGAATACTGACTGTAAGATGGAAAAGCATCATCAATAAGAATGGAGGCTATTTCACTTAATAAATGTTTTGTTTTTTTCATCTAAAAAAAGCAACATTAATTTCTTGATGACCTAATATTAATATCTTATTTGATATTCCTATACTTACCTCTAATCTTGATACTGTCTCAGAATTTCCAACTATATCAGAAAAATTCACAGGTCGGTACTTCTCTATCCTGTATCATCAATAATTCAGTATTATAACAAATCAAATTATACTAAAGAACGTAAAGCAAGGAAAAAATTTCTAAATTCACAACAATTCAAAGCTAGTAAAAGAATTTGAACAAGACACACTATTTTTGAACTTATCTTAACCTACTGTAATCACTATCCATTTCCTTTAGTTTTTAAACATTTTAAACACAAGGCAGTTACACCATAAAACAAGGACAGCTTGCATATGAAAGCTTTCTATAAACTTTAGTTTTCCAGAAAACTGAGCCCTTCTAAAAATAAAAGTAAAAATGCACTTATATCACAAGTACAAGTGATGTTATTAGTTACCAGAAAAATACTCTTCCCTTAGCTAATAGTAATAGTACAACTGATACTTGAAAATTAAATGTGGATGAAACAAGCCTCCAAAGTCCAAGTGATAAATAAGCGATACTTGAAAAATAAATATGGATGAAATAAACCTAAAAATAATAAGCATTCAAACTTCAAATCTAAGCACCTATCCACGCAAAACTGTTGATACTGTAGCTCGTGTTACAGAAGCTTTTCTGGGTTAATACTAGTACTAATAGTAACAGTATTTCAGTATCAGTATCACCGATACTGACAGCATCAGTGATATTGATACTGACATAACTCCAGATTCTTATTTCTAAGTTTTAGCAGTAATATGCTAGGCCCATACATATGATAAAGAAAATATTTCACTCTTGAACTTGAAAGTTTAAGAGCTTACCATGGCCGTCCATCACTTTTCTTTGATGTACTACTACCACTAACGTTAGTACTAGTAATACTACTAGTAGTACTAGGCCTACTAGTGGTAGGTGTAGGATTGATAGTTTTATTTACGACATTATCATCTTTTAGTTTTACTTCTTCACTATCAACATCCATTTCTTGAACATCGGCCATTCTTAAGATAACTTGTTTAAGACTACCCTTCTTTACTATTACAGGATCAAAACGTAATTTTTAACCGTAATCTCGTAGTTTTCATATTACTATTACTGCTACAATTAACACAACTTCCCGCCAAATCAATTGTTAATGGAAGATTGCGCCCTCTTATGCAAAGATATAAAAACCTTGTATTTGCTTTTATTTCTTGACATGAGCTGCAGAGAGTTTTAGCAACATTAGTTGTGATTAGTTAACATGGAAACTGCGAAAGAATTAGTTCTAAAACTAAATTTTTTGATAAAATTAGTAGTTTTCGCAAAGCACAAGTCAAGCGCCCTAATCATCAGTTGTTTCTAAAAGATACTTAAGAGAGAGATTTGTTTTCTAGCCGGTAGAGTGAATCAGTCAGCGTGTTTACATTTTTGGAAAGACAAATATATAGTTCAAACTGTATAGGCGACGAAAATGACGAAATTAAATAATAGACTGAACTATCGCCAGCTTATTTATATTTTATTATCAAAAGAAGGATGATGTTTAGAGATAGTGCTCTTCGTCAGGTCGTACAGTTTAAAATTAACTATATCGTATATTGAGTTAATTTGTACAAGTAAGTTGATTGTTTACGTTAGTATAGTTCAGTTAGTGTGACTTAAAAGTTACCACAGTGTTCAAGCATGTAAAAATGTGAAGAGAGAAATATATTAATTTCTTATCGTTTACGTGTACTGGACTTCGAATTATTTTCACCAGATAAGAACTCGCCAACGAAAGAATAATATTACAACATGTTAATAAGGTAATAATAATCGTTCGAATGCTATATTATGTTGTTGTTTTTTTGCCCACTTTTAAAACATGTTTTAATTTTTTGATCAAATAAATGAAATTCAGAATATCATTTCCTTATTAGGAATATTCTGCTTCGTTTTAACACAGAATTAATTTAAATCTACAACAACACTCAACATTAGAAATGTTTGTTAGTTTGTTTGGAATTAAGCACAAAGCTACACAATGGGCTATCTGTGCTCTGCCCACCACGGGTATCGAAACCCGGTTTCTAGCGTTGTAAGTCCGCAGACATACCGCTGTGCCACTGGAGGGCAAGGGTAAAAGAAACTCTACATATAAATTTCTTTGTTCATATTTTAACATTTTTTGGAATGCTATAAAAGGGTTACCTGCACATAGCCTTCCCTAATTTTCAACTGATAGACTCACAACAGAAAATGGGGGACAGAAATGTTAGTACAATATGAGAATGCATAACTAAGTCATATTTAAATATTAAAAGTTAAAGATTTAATACTCAACGAAAAACCATTAACATAATAGATTGTTTATTATTTCAGTATATAATACAATTTACGTTAAAAATAATACAGTAAGGACGTTGTTGTTGTTTCACTATTTAGGAACATATGTTTTTTAAAATTATAAAACAATAAAAACGTTATGCTACCACAGAATAATTATATATTCTGGAATATTTATACATTAATACCAATGTTACATTTTTATTGTTACCACATCTTCAGTAACATAACCACTAATATATATCAAACATAACCAAAACAATGTTAAGAACATAAAATAATATAATAGTGTTACGCATCTGCTTGTTTGATAATTTCCGGTATAAATTCTTTCCGAGGAACTTCAGCGATACGAGTCCTTTCTTAATTAAAACTAGTTTATTCTTTCTCGATACAACTTTGTAATACACAGTAATTTCCACAGTCACTCTGAACTTAACAACCTTTATAACACATGCTATAAATCACAGTGATTCACACACTTTACTTACGGTGCCTGGCCCGGCATGGCCAGGTGGTTAAGGCGCTCGACTCGCAATCTGAGGGTCGCGGGTTCGAATTCCCGTCACACCGAACATGCTCGCCCTTTCAGCCGTGGGGGCGTTATCATGTGACGGTCAATCTCACTATTCGTTGGTAAAAGAGT